TTCTAGCTGTGTATCTGTGAAATTTGGCGAACCTACCCACAGAAGAAGTTCTCGAGAAATTGAAAAGAAGCCCGAGTGGTGAAAATCAGCGCCGGATTTTCAAATCAGACGTCATAAGAGGAAAGTGCGCTGCTCAAATTTGACCTGCGCCGGACCAGTAGTTGTGTGTAATGGTGTTCTCGAAATACAGGTGGAAGATTTGGTTCAGGAGCCCGAAGAAGGAAGAAAGGAAAAAATTTGTTGTCGTGGATGGTCCCATAATGTTCATCCTGCACAAGAAAAAAGGGTGGATGAAGTCAAGCGCTGAATGTCTGATCCCAGAGCCTGGACCTTTGTCGAGCTTCCCCGCGAGTCTGACATCCCTGCTGCAACTGCTGCCCGAGTTATGTCCGATAAACTGAGGATGGTCAAGAGGGTGTGCGCATGGGTACCTAATTTTCTTGTAGAAGCACGAACGCAGTACCGATTCTATACCTCTAGCAGTAATGTTCTCAGCATGAGATGTCATTCACGACTGTGAAAACGCCTCCCAGCCCTAGATGAAACATGGGTGGTCTTGAAGTCTGAGCCATAAATCAAAAGCGTCAATTTTGTGTGAATGCAGATGAGAGGTCGCCCGAATTCTGCCATGAGGAGTTACGTGGGCGCAAGTGGATGATCATCATAGCAAAGGATTCCCACACTGTGGCTTTCAGGCGGCTCTATACAGAGAATAAAATCGTCGCTGTCGGTGTATATTGCCTGTTCCTCGGCAATCAGATCGACAAATGGATGATACCACACAACTACAAGAAGGCCACCGTTGCTCGTCATAGTGCCAGACCCCGAGTAACTGTATTGTTCAGTCGCCTCATTCGCCCATCATAAAGCCGTGCGATTTCAACTGTTCTGGTCAGTCGAGAGTACTCTCCGACGGCAAACGCTACAATGTTTTGTCATTCGCCGAAATTGGCATCAACAGCAATTTACTCGCACTTGTTGAAAAATCGAAGGTACCAGAGGTCCAAAGGCTTTCGGGGCACTGGGAGCGGGTCATTGGTGAAGGAGGGATTTACTTAACTTGAAGCCAAAATATTACTTTTTTATCTATTCTCCTCTTTGTTTATTCGAATAAAACCGTCGGCACTTTTGAATGGGATGACCTTATATAATTCCACTTTGCAATATTCGTGACAATGACTCATTAAGGTTCCGTTTGGCACAATGATTGCTCTGCTGCTTATGTGGTTCGGAATCGATTTACCTTTGGTTTTCCTTGGATTTTATTTCGGATATCGAAAACAGGTCAATTCTATTAAAGATTAGCACTATTTACCCTTCACTACCCTTTCATCGAAAATCGGGCTGTTTTTTGACCACTTTTCTCTTCCGAGGGCAGGTGCGCCGCGCCACAGGCGCGGCACAATACCCCGAATCGCCAAACTAGCTGGAAACTTGTTCCCATGGGTGGTTTGACCTTCTGAATACGCGCGTACGCTCGGCCCGAGACCTAGCGCCCGCGCCACAGCTGTCGGCGCCAAAAGATGGAAACTTGTTCAAAAGGGTACTGACCCCTGAACACAAATATCACATCGGTCAGATCTGAAACACCCGACGCTTATTCCAGAAGTGGCTCAGTCCTAGCTCGGAACTCCATTTGGTTTCGTTACGAGTGGTGTGCTAAGGCAGTTAAGGAGACGATGAGAAGAGCACCCTTTCTGCTTGCCTGCGATAGTGATATACTCCTTTAATAAGGACAAGTTTTGAGCAGTTTCGGTATATTTTGGTGCCGGTGTCTGTGGCGCGGGCGCTAGGAGATGTTGGGCCAAGTGGATGTGATACTCGTTCTTAGGAGGTGCAGCTTTTTAGCCAACTCTGCCGTCGGAGAAAAAAGTCGGTCAAAACTGGCCTGATTCCGAAAGATTGGGGTAGTAAAGGGTAAATAGTGCCGAAGATTTTGTTGATTTGAAATATTATTGAGCTTTTGAGTGTATTTCATGAATCGTTCGGAGTTTCTTATTTTGGGATGTTGAATGTAGGTTTAAGTTTTAGTTTCACCTGAGTCGTTGCATACATCATTGTGAGATGTTTCACATGTCTTCCTTGGGCTGCTGCGGTGGAACCATAAGGTGTATTGAACTTGGGGTTTGTACAAGCGATGAGCAGACCTAGCAAGCGACATCGTTGTTGTATACAATGGGAGATAGCATAAAACATTGGTACGCAGCAAAATTGCACTATGGAGAATTGCATGGCTTGTCCAGGAGCAATTGTTGGAGCTTGTGCACAGCGCGGGATGGTATGTCAGTTTTGGGATCAGCGTGTCAGTGAGCATTTTGCAGCCGAGAGAGCAGAGACATGTGTTCACCGATATATGTAATCGGTGTTTATATGGTAAGCACCGAATAAAAGGACATTTTGACAAGGATTCAAATTTCGCTTGCAAAATCATGGCGTATGTAGATGACATCTGTGCAGGGGTGGGGTTCCAGAAGCGTTCATAATCCGTGTGCAATATCCTAGCTTGGGCCACTGGAACGAGGGCGTCACAATTACGAATGATTTTCCGCCGTACGTGCCATTGCATGAGTTGTGAAGCATGTGGCACCTACCGTAACCCTTTTCATTAGTGTCTCATTTTCGAGCTATTCAAGAGAGTGAGGGGATGCCGGCGTGGTGGAGCCGTTGTTGGTTTACTTGGAACAACTATTTCAGTTTTGTGGGGGGGGGGGGGAAGGAGAGAGAGAGAGAGCACGCTTACCGCCTGCGCTGATTTTCTACCCAGGCCAACCAAGCCTTCTACGCTTCGGCCACGTTAAGTGCGTACCAGATCTGTCTGGAAGGATAATAACACTTACTTGTGGGTCGGCCGGGTAGAATGCATGTTGCATCCCAAAAACGGAATTATCATCAGCGAAGCTTTATTCGTTTTTCAGATTCATTTTGAGATAGGAAAGGAAACCCGTTCTCATGTCAAGGTTTCATAAGTATTGTACCTGGAAGCCATCTCCATTATTTTACCCATTTTGTATTTTTTTGCTTTTCAGCCGTACACTCATCCAGTGCGTACGAACCAAATTCCACGCCAGGTGCCAGATCAACCGTGGTATCTGCGAACAATACCCTGTACTTTACTCGCAGGAGTTTTGCCATTTGGTGCAATGTTCATCGAATTATTCTTTATTTTCTCGGTACGTTAATGCTTTCTATTTTTCACCTGATCTCTTGGGTGGGTTCTGCCGCTTATTCAATTTGTTTTCATCACTCGCAAGGGATGTTTAAAGTTGTGCAGCCCATTTTCAAAATGGTATGTTGTTTGTTGTAGAGTTCCGCACGGGAACTAGACAAAAATGTGCAGTTCGTTTTCGTTGCGCGCTTTTGGAAAGGTCAAAGAAAGGGTGAACAACAGGCTGGTGGTTCGAATCCCAAAGGCGACCAGTTCTTGCTTTCTTGCAATTTTTATATTCCTGAATTCATATAAATTGAGGTCTCCGACCTGAACGAGAAAGTGCCCCGAAAACCCCAATGTTTCGTTTAGAAAGGTAGAGGAGCTCTCTTCTCTCCATCGCCTAGTTGGTCGAGAACCCTACAATTTTTCTTTCGCCAATTTTTGGCACTTCAGCAGCACGCAGCGAAAATGGACACACTTCTGTGGTCCCAGCATATACCCATACAACATGCAAAAATCACCTTGAAAATGGCCTCCACGACCTGAGAGACCTCCACAGTCAGTAAGATTTGTTGTGGCAGAGTTCAACAAGACTTAAACAACTATTTATTCTTTCTCGAACAACTTCTACTCGTTAATTTGCAGGCAATTTGGGAGAATCAGTTCTATTACTTGTTTGGTTTCCTCTTCATTGTATGTATGATTCTTGTTATTAGCACAGCACAGATTTCTATTGTTGCCACATATTTCATGCTATGTGCTGAGGTGAGCTTAATATTGCCTGCTACCACGCTTGGGTTCTCAGACAAAGTCGCTTTTAGAACTACCGTTGGTGGTGGAAGTCAT